AGAGTGGAGACCAAAGAATAGAGGATGGAGGTGACCCAGAGAAGAAAAGCCCATGGGGAAAAGGAAAGAAAATAAAATAGAAAAAGAAAACTAAACATATGAAAACCAATTAAAAGATGATATGTGTCTCAATGACCTACTGAATTGGTAAACGCATGTCAGATGTGTGTTGTGGGAAGGTGACCCTTATACTTCAGATTATATTGGAATTATCACTATTTGGGATTAATAAAGGAAGAAGGTTGATAGTTGGGATTATTTATTTGAATTTTTCCAAACTAAAATGATGCATTGTAGAGAGGATATAGCAGGGAGGAACCGAAACCAGCATACCTCCTACTTTGGACGTTGAAAGTAAATCTCAAAACTTTGCAGGAACCAAGGCAACATCTGCACATATTTGTCGAAGGCGCTAGAGTGCGCTCACTACAGTCCAGTATTTCCTCATTGAACTTTCCTCAGAGATATAGTCCTTCATCAATCGCTTTGCTTCAAATTCCTTTTTATCATATATTGCTCTTTCATCTCGAGAGATTTGCACATAACATGTCAATAAAGTCTGAAATGGCAAAAAGAACAGTATGGTTATAAATCTACCTATAAAACCCAATTATTGTTTTTTGCTTAACACACACACACACACACACATATATATGAGTGTGTGTGTAGGAATGAGCAAAACCCGATCCGACCTGAAAAATCTGATATCTTTTTTGGATATTATCCGAACCGAAGTGGATATCCGACCCGAAAAACCCGAAACCGAAAATCCGATTAGTATTGGGCCTAGATCGGGTGGCGGGTAGGGTTTGTGAAATCCCAACCCGACCCGACCGAATATCCAAAATATATGTTAGTGTGTACTTTGAATATTTAAATTAATACTTGTGTTCAATTATTTGTGTAATTATTTGTGCAATTTGTATTAAATTATTTGTGTAAATTGAATGTGTAGTGAACTAGTGTGTACAATTTTTGTTAAAGTGGCATTCCAACCTTTTAACTATCCAATTATAATGTGTTTGATATAACAAAAGTATCCGAAATATATTAAATTATGTAGTGTGTACTTTGAATATGTTAAATTAATACTTGTGTTCAATTATTTGTGTAATTATTTGTGCAATTTGTGTTAAATTATTTATGTAATTTGGAAGTTTAGTGCACTAGTGTGTACAATTTTTGTCAAAGTGGCATTTAAACACTTTAATTATCCAATTATAATTTTTTTAATATAACCGAAATATTTGAAACCCGACCCGATATCCGATAATATCCGACTTAAAAATATCTGAAATACCCGATTTGAAATATCAATGGGTCGGGCCTAGTATTTAAATTAAAAAACCCGAACGGATTTAGGGTTCGCAAACCCGACCCGCCCAAACCCGACCCGTGCACACCCCTATGTGTGTGTGTATAAGACCTATAAATTATGCAAAACCTTCTGATCTCCATGACTAAAGTCAAACCCAGCAGTTAGACACATTGTTTTGATGGTATCCAGTGAAGCTATCCTAGCAAAGATGAAGAATTGGCTTGCCAACATACATCAGTTTCCTTCAGAGTAAGTATATGGCTACCTATTCCATCACAAACACAAGTAATTACATCAAGACTTGGGTAACAAGGGTAAGCAGTGGATCATATTTCTGCTAGTTTTAGGTGCCCACGTTTGCATATAACCTCAGGAAAAAAATTACTGGGGGCATTCATCATTGATATTGTTATACTCCTGTTTTTATTTCCAAGAATAATATTAGTTTAGGCTAGTATATACCTTTAACAGTAATTTGCCCTGAGTCCATCAGGGGGGAGAGTAGTTTGGCTGTGGAGGCCTCTAGGAGGCCGACCACTTGATTGCGAATGTTAATCACTTCGAGAGCATTGACGTTGTGGGGCTGACAGACGAGTCGAACATCTTCACCGCAGTAGATTAAGCCAAAGTAGTCAGCGAGTTCCACAATACTGCATCTGATGAAGCCCACTGGGTACACAAAGTTGTCCTCATTTCTGAAAGGCTAGGACGGCCACTCCCGCTCGTCCAACATGAAGTCGTGCTCTTCGTAGATTTCCTCAAACGGCCACTCCCGATCGTCTTGTAGTGCGTCTTCATCCGCCATTTTTCTTGGAATTCTTCTTACTCTTCTTTATATCTTCTTTAAACTTCTTCTTCCCATTCTTTATATTTTCTTGAAACTTTTTCTTACTGTGCTTTGTGTCTTCCTCTCTTCTGTGCCGTTGTCATCAGAAAATTTTGAAAAATTTAAACATTATTTCGAGTAAATGCTATAATATTATCTATTTTTTCCATTTTGGTGAATAGTTTCGATTTTAATAGAAACAATGTTAAAGCATTTGTCCCACACTGGAAAGGTATAAAACAATTAAACACTATATAAGGCTTTGGGCTACTCCTCCTACCAGGTTGACCTTTTAGCATGGAACCCCGAGTCTTAACATGGTATCAGAGCCAATTCCGGTTGTGGTTTAACGGTTTGTTTAGCACCCATGATTAAGGGTAGCTAGTTAAGGGTTTTTGGCTCGTTTATACAACCCGATATTGTCCAGCCCGGTTCGGGTGAGGGGGCGTGTTAAAGCATTTGTCCCACACCGGAAAGCTATAAACACTATATAAGGCTTTGGGCTACTCCTCCTATCAGGTTGACCTTTTAGGATGGAGCCCTGGATCTTAAAGTATTTGTCCCACACCGGAAAGCTATAAAGTAAAAAAACACTATATAAGGCTTTGGGCTATTCCTCCTATCAGGTTGACCTTTTAGGATGGAACCCCGGATCTTAACATGGTATCAGAGACATTACCGATTGTGGTTTGACTGCTTGTTTAGCACTCATGATTAAGGGTAGCTTGTTAAGGGTTTGTTTGGCCCGTTTATAGACCCCGATATTGTCCAGCCCGGTTCGGGCTGAGGGGGGCATGTTAAAGCATTTGTCCCACAACGGAAAGGTATAAAACAATTAAACACTATATAAGGTTTTGGGCTACTCCACCTATCAGGTTGACCTCTTAGGATGGAACCCCGAGTCTTAACAAACAATGTTACTGCCTCCCAACTAATTGTGACTGTCTCTAGGGTTTTCCTAGTTGCGTTTTTCTGGCGGTGATCGGCCAGGTCACGGTGTCCGGCGTTCCTCTCTCTATCCATGAGTATTGTGAGCTGGGATTGTAGGGAACTTGGGAAATCCACTACGGTACAAGGCGTTGCAGAGGTTGTTCAAAGTCATCGGCCATCCATGTTGTTGCTAATAATGGAGACTAAAGTATGTTGCCGACGATTTCACCAATAGCGAAGGGTTTAATGGGGTTTGGCTCTTGGATGGAACGACGATGTGGTCAAAAACAGATGGGGCGTACATTGTACGTTGAAATCCCATGACAAGGGGTGGGTGGTTTTTAAATTTAAGAATGAGGAGGATAGAACTAACGTTTTTACCAGAGTACGTTATAATATCTTTGGTAGATTACTTATTTTGAAAATGCTATCCGATGACTTCATGATGATGAGGCATTCCTTATGGTGTCTATTTGGGTTAAGTTTCCCAATTTGCCTTTGAATTTGTGGAATGAAGAGGCAATGAGCAAGATTGCATCAAAGGTTGGTGTTCCTATCACTACGGACAAAGTCACTCAAGAGATGTCAAACTACAACTTTGCGAGGGTTTTAATTGCAGTGGATATTACCTTGGCACCGTGCCTCTCTTTTCCTATCTGGTTACCATCGGGGAAGACTTTTAATCAAGTGGTTGTCTACGAAACCTTTCCTAATTTCTGTTTTCATTGCAAATCTTACGGACATCACCCTTTTATTTGCAAGGAATTGGGTTGGAAAAAGATTGAAAAAGTTATGACATCGGGTGGTGTGAAGAAGGGGGTGAAAGGCAATGAGACTGCTTAATCCAAGCAAGGGCTGGATCCCCATAACACCTCTCGGGTAGCACCTACTGTCCAAGGGCAGATTACTGCAAGCCCGATCGGGCAACATCCTAGCCCGACCGGGCCTCATGACCAGACTGTTGCCCAGGGGGCTGTTTTAGATGTGCAACCTGCTGCCACAATTCTGCATTCTGCGCCAACTGCACCAAAACGACTCCGAGGTCGTTTTGGAAGATATTGAAAGGATTGTGATGGTTGAAAAAGATCTGAAGTTAAATGATGTTGTCATCAAATTTGCGGTCATCAACGGTAAGACACTCAAGTTAGCTGTCAAACCTTTTAAGTTCGTGCACGCGAGTGTGATTAGAGTGGATACTTCACTTTGACTTACGGATGATTTGGATGGGAAAGGCATTACTTTCACGGCCAAATGTCACGACTCAAAGTTCACTACTCCTTTCCGAGCTTTCTTTGGAGTTTAAATTAGGGATACCTAATTTTCTGTTGTGGTAGCTTGATTTTTGTTTGAACTTGTTTTGTTTTTGCAGTCAAATTGTTGACTTGGGAGGACGGAAAGCTTGATGTTGTGGTATCCCATGTTCTGGGATATGCACTTTTATTGTAATATTAACTTGTTATTTTTTGAGTGTTAATATATACTTACATTTCATTAAAAAAAGCATTCAACCACTCGTAAGGACTAAGGGGTAACGGGTCAGAACATATTGCCATCCTAATCAACCTGATTATCATCCTCCGCCATGGAATACCAAAAACAGGAAGATCTTCCCGTAAGAGCATCTCCACTCATGCTCTCTAGATAAACGATTTTTTTATTACACATCATTGACACATCACATTTATTCAATGAATTTTAAATAATCTCAAAGCTTAATACTCTTCATCAACAATAATACTCAAATAATCAGTTTTTTCCAGACATGCATTAAATGTAATTTAACTACAATCTGAAATAATCTGGGATTGTAATCTTGATACCGGATTTTCTTTTTCAATAATCTCACTAAATAATCTCTCACTTACAATGATAATATTTAAAATAATCTTACACATAATCATTGATCTTCAAATAAACTCATGGATGGGGATATCCTAAGATCTCTTACAGCTCTGGCTTCTTCCCCGAGACGTCCTTTTCCAGATTCTGGTTCGTCTTGGAGGCCAATCTAGGGGGAAGCTAAGCTGCGTTTCCAAAATATTCCGTTCCATATTTACCGATCTAAGTTTCATAGAGTTTCAACGAAATTGGTTAGCGGCTCTTAACCAAGGCACAACCATTCTCTTCTCTGTTCTGTCTACGTTTCTGACGGGTTCTCATGACCCACCCGGGTCTCTTGACCCACCCGGGTCTCTTATGCTCAATTGCACGCCAGAGCAGTTTTACACCATAAATTACGAAGGAAATCAGACCGAAAAGCTCATTCAAGCAAAAAGTGTTAGGCATACGGACGGACGATGGTTCCAATATGGCAGATCTATGTCTTTTGCCAAAGATCATATATGTTTCTTCAACGAGCATTTAGAATTGATGGTTTTTAACCTTATAGCAGGACAACACACCGCTCTCCCGAAAACTCCGTCCGGCAGTGGGCATCTTTGTGCGCTTTTGGGTTATGACGGCGTTTCGGGAAGACACAATGTTTTGAAGGCGGAGGCTAACTTTAACTCGAGGACACTGAAGTATTGGGTGTTCACACTGGGCGTGGATGAAACGTGGCGGGAGATTAAGAGCCCTGTGATGTTTTACCTTAGCAAAAGTTTCATGAATAGTGTTTGCATTAACGGTGTGATCTATTCCTACAATAAGATGTATGGTCATTCCAAGCTAGTGGCATTCGATGTTAGGTCTGAGAGTTTCCACCCGATACCTCTCCCTCCAGCAACATATGAATATTTCAGGAAATTATCGTTGGTAGAATTGGACGCGCGGTTTGCTGTCATGTATGTCCACCAGAACAAGCTGGTTGCTTGGAGTTTGGAGACCGCACGATCATGCTGGAAGAAGCACACTTTCTCCTTTCCATTAGAGAAAGGGGTTCTGGGGCCAGGCGGTGGCTTTTTTCCCAGGACTTTTATTACTGCTACTCCAGCTGGGGAAATCGTATTGTTGTTAATGCTAAATGGAACACCCTCTCTATGGGTTTTACTGGATAAGTTCGGGCCAGACCCTGTTTGGAAGGAGTTTCGAATTAGGGGGCTTGCTGACATTCCTACCGGCATGTCGAAAATGTCCGGAGTTGCGGCTGCGCAAAACATTGCCCATGATCACATTCACTTGGAATAATCTTTCCGGAAAACGCCATACTGGTATTGTCTTCGTCCCCACCTTACCATGTCATTTCATCATTATCATGTCTTACCATTGTGTCAATCTTTCAATTACTTCTTTAGTTTCTTCTACTTAGCTATTTAATTAGATAGTCAGATGGAATATTCATTATGTCTAAAAGTATAGTTCACTGTACCCAATTTAGATTTTATTGGGATAGACTACCAATTGGTTTGTGTTTTTGTTAGTGTGACTATTAGCTTGTTGCATTGTCACTTTGTATTAGTGTCTGGTGCTTCAATCCCTTAAAACTCTTTGACTTACTTTGAGTGATACAACTAAGCAAGAAATTCTTTGCATTCTTCTCTTTGTGTGACTGCATTTGTATGATACAAAAACAGGGAGTAATACCGAACATGTCTTTATGAATTTTAATCCAAGGCAATCAGCAGAACTCTTCCATTCACCAAGATAATACTATGTGTAACTATGAACGGCTGCTTATGTGATGGAGATTCGTAATATATGCCCCAGATACTCATGTCAACATCACATTTGTTTATTCAAGACAGTTGCAAAAGTACACTTTGTAAATAATTTAGGTGTCAATTTTGTAGTGTGTCTGTGAACATAAAGTGTAATGTAGCGAGATATGAATATACTAACTAAACACGACAATCATTTTTTACTTCAACCGAACTACGTGTATTCACACATCCGTCCGATTACATTTAAAGTAGGCATTAATAGTCATCCCACACAAGGCCATACATAACTCTTGTACATATCATGTACTCCCTCCGTCCCCTTTTAAATGGGACGGGAGATGGTGGTACGGGTTTTAAGAAAAGTGAGTTTGTGTGGTTGATATTAATTGATAAAGTAAGAATGATTTTGAGCCACACAAAATTTACCAAATAAGGTATGGGGCAATTAAATAGGGACATCCCAATATGGTAAAACGGGACATTTAAAAGGGGACGGAGGGAGTATAATTTTTTTATACCTTCAAGTGCTTTCACATTTTTTTAACCCAACAGGCAAACCACCATCAGTAGGGTAAATGCCGGGAAACATTAACCAAAATTTATTAAAAGAAGAAAATAAAGTACAAGTGAGAGAGGAATGAAAACCCAAAAATTACAAATAAACAAATTAAAGCACCAGATATTGACCCCCCATCTATGTCCAATTGAATCCACTAGTTAATTCTCCAATTGAGTAGAACTCAGTCAAGCAATTATAACCCGATGATGCCAACAGTACAGTCGCAAGGTTGCCCTCATTAGGAATATGCTCATATACTACTTCGTTCAAGGATTTGCAGTAGGGTTGTAAACAAATCGAATAATTTTGATCTGATTCGTGATTCAAATTCGAAAGTGTTGATCCGAATTTGAAAAAAACGAATACGAATATGAATACAAATCGGTTTTGTTATTCTTATATAATTCGAATACGAATATACATATACTATCGCATTCGATTCATATGTTATACGAATATATGCGATTTGTATATATACGAATTATATTTATAGTTATTATATTTATAATTATTATATTTATAATGTATAATAATTTAAATTAGAATACTAAAATAGGTAATACGTAATCTAACCCTATTCGTAGTAACCGACCCTCACTCTCCACTTCTCTGTTCTCTACAGCTTCAAGGTTCTCGAGTAGAGCAATTCCAACTTCCGACCCATTTGTGATTTTTTCCTTGTTTAATTTTTTTACTTTTTTCGCTTTTTGCTGATGTATACTGATGCTATTTCCGTTCTTATTCATTTACTTCTTGTTGATATTGATGCTAAGAACGTGCTCATTCCTTCTGTTAGTATTATCATTGGTCAGTTTTGTGTGCTACAAATGTCTTTATATTTCATGAGTTGGCATTTTTATTTGTGTCTTGAATCAACATCTTCTGTGGTTGTGGTCACTTCATTTTTGTGTATTTGTGTGTCCAGAATTGGCTGGAGGATATAGGTTATGGATTATGTACATATATACCGGTAGATAGATAGATCAATTTGGTGTTCTCCGTATAAGGAAGAAAATCATTTCTGCAAACAAGTCTGAAGTTCACTAAAATTATGTGTATTTCCAATCTCTTTTTGTCAACTGGAGGAATTGTGCATCGAAAACTTTCTGTTGACTTGATTCAAAGAAAAAGATATCTCCGGTCCAGTATGTATATTTTGTTCATTTTTAACATGACTTTTTATAAGCAAATAAATATATTAATTTAATATTTACAAATGTTAATATACACAGGTACAATATGTAGCAAACAATGCATATAGAAGATGCTATTAATGAGGAATCGATACATGAGGTAACTATTATTATACGATAGTATTATATAATTGTTGCGATTTGCACTAACTATTACTCCCTCCGTCCCATAAAATTCTTCCCACTTTCCTTTTTGGGTCGTCCCAAAAAATTCTTCCTACTTTCCTTTTTTGGACAATTTGTGTGGTTCACATTCATTTCACCTTTTTTACACAACCACACATTTTCACTTTATTCCACTTTCTTAATCTCCGTGTCAAGTCAAACTTGGAAGATTTTTCTGGGACGGAGGAAGTATTATATATTATTGTATCAATATTTTAACAATTGTATCCACACAGGGGGAAGTAATACAAATCCTCCAATGGCAGTTGAAGTTGATGGGGGAGGGCAGTACTATCGAGGCTGATCTTGAAAGAATGGATGCAAATAATGATGATGGCAATGGTGAGAAAGATGATGATATGCCTACATTTCACATAAGACTACAAAAGCTCATACGGATTTTGAAGAAGTGGTTTTATCGAATGGATCTAACAAGTATAAACGTGTATACCGCAAGAAATTGCTTTGTAGACCTGATACTAAACTTCTCATCTTTGGAATCATTTCAAGAGGTGTGAACCGTGATACATTGAAGCTTGACACGAAAAAGCAAATGAACTTGCAATTCCATCCATCAAAGTCCAAGTTTGAGATGAGTCCGTTATCAAATGGCAAGTATGATCATTTGAAGCAAAGAGAAGCAACTGCTATTAGTCAAATAGTCATTAAGGAACTGTTAATTATATTGTTGCATTTCTCATTCTCCCATTAGTTAATTAGTTAATTGTTATATTTGTCATTAAAGTATTAAAGTAGTTAATTGTTTAATTATTAAAGTAGTTAATTTCTACCTTTCTCAATACTTTAAAAAACTAGTTAGTTGTTACATTTTTCATTTCCCTATTACTTAATTAGTTAATTGTTACATTTGTCATTAAAGTAGTTAATTGTTTAATTATTAAAGTAGTTAATTGCTACCTTTCTCAATACTTTAAAAAACTAGTTAATTGTTACATTTTTCATTAAAGTATAAAACAAAGTAGTTCGATTTTTTTTTTCAAGGAAGAAATTTGTAGTTCAAATTTCATTACTCGCATTGTAATAAATTAAATACAATTGTTATTTTATTAAAGTACTTGAAATTTGCTATAATTTTATTAGTCACATTTTATTATTACTATTGTACTCATAATAAATTTTCTCAATTCTCAATTGTACTTCTTATTTCAAATAAATATCATGGTTCTAAAAATCGCTCTAGGCGCCCGATTAGTCCCCGCCTAGGCGCTAGGCGGTAGTCGGGCGCCCCGATTTTAGTCTAGGCGCTCCGACTAATTGATTTGGCGCCTAGGTGAATTAGTCGGCCGCCTAAGGCGCCTAATTACCCGCCTAGAGCGCTTAATCGGCCGCCTAGGCATCTAGATTCATCAAAAAAATTATTTTGCGTTTTATTTTAGTATTCTAAGAGATATATGTATCTTTAACTCTAACAACGCATATGAAGAAAGCTACTAGTTGTAGATTAAAATAAATAATATACATGTTTATATATATATATATATATATATATATATATATATATATATATATATATATATTCTTAAGTGTTATTATTATTTATTAATAATTATTACGTAGTATTACTTGAAGTTAAGAAATATGTATAATATGTTATTAAATGTGAAAGCTCTTATCATTCATGCATGTTAATGTGTGTATGTGTGTGTCTATATTTTATTTATATACACACACAACATTATTAATCATATTTATGCAAAAAAATTAATAAAATTGTAATTTCTATGTCTCCGATTAATCCCCGCCTAGGCGCCCGCCTAGCCGCCTAGGCGCTAGGCGCTGTGCTGGCGCCCGACTAGCGCCTAGCGCCTTTTAGAACATTGATAAATATACTTGAATTTTTTATATCTAGCAATTCTTGAATTAATTGGACAACACAAAAAAAAACATGTAACCGGCCCGGCCCGGTAACCGGCCGGGTGGCCCGGCCCGACTCGAAACCGCTGCCTACCAGGGCCGGTTCCGGTTCTTCATTCCCAAAAAACAAAGCCCGGGCAGGCCAGGCCCGGTACCTGACCCGGACCGAAATTGGTCCACCCCTAACTAGACATGTTCAAACCTACTCACATTTGATCCACCACTTTCAATAATTATTTTTGAGATGGTAGATTTTGTGGTACTCATAAGATACCGTACTTTTGTCTACACGGATCAATCAAAATATTGTAACTGGATTATTTAAATAAATTTAAAAGTGATATAATGTCTTGAACTAATCAAATGAATGATAGGTACGGTACTCCATTTTTTAATTAATTACCTTCTCACCTTTTGAATGAAAGCTACTTTGTTTTTCACTAGATTTTCACCCGTGCGATGCACGGAACATAAAAATATTCAATAATTTATTTCTTAGTATAAATATTTTTTAATTAGGTGAAAAAGATTTATTATATTGTCCTAAGTGAATTATAAAAGAGGCGATCGATTTAAAAATATAAACATTATTTTATATGGAGTATATAGAAATCATATTTTCCTTAATACTCCGTATTAAGTAAAAAAGTACAAAATAAATTTTATAGCGTGATAAAAGTACGAAATTTGATGGAGTGGGCAGACAATTGTATTGCCAAGAATATTAAGTACTACGGAGTAATTAATAGGCTAATAGCTATGCACCCTGCTCCATAAGTTATCCATGCATTGAGACTTGGGTACACATTTTTTGTGTATACATTTTTACACATGTCTGTATAGGTTTTTTTGTCTATACTGACAAAATGTATTTTGACAAAATACGTTTGTACATAAAAAGTGTGTATGAGTTGAGGCATACGAAGTATATTTACTTGTATTGAGAACCATATTTGACCCGTGATTTTTGGCAATACTTTGCCAATTTTCTATTGCTTTTGTATATTAAATAGCTATATCCCCTAGTTAGATATTTCTTATTAAATTTCATGTAGTGTTCATCTATAGTCATGTGAGTAGTTAAGAGAATAAACATACCTATGAAAAATTATCTACACATAAACTCAACTTTTTCCAAAATGAAGGCTAGCGACGTCTACTTGTCATTATCTACCTCTATCCCATTCAAAGGTTCCCATTAAAATATGACATAATTATTTAGATAATAATTAAATATGCTAATTTGAAAAATATTTTTGATGTGTACGGTATATATCATATGATGTTTTATTGGTAATAATTATGATGTTATAGATGTATTTTTTTTTTAATATTTGATGATTAAATTGTTATTTAAGAGTGTTAATTGTTTTCTAAAATAGAAAATGAGAATCTTTAGCTAGAGACGTCTAAAAAAGAAAAGTGGGAATATTTGAATGAGACGGAGGAGTCCCATAAACTAAGTGTTTAAGAGTGTTTCAAAATTGAAACTAACTTCAAAATCAATTTCCAAAATACTTATTTTTCTACTATAAGGACAAATGCATTAACTTTGAAACGTGCTTCCTACCTGTTAGATTAAATTACTTCAAAAACCAATTGTAAATGTAAGTCCTCCTTTCGAGACATCTAATAAGTGCAATTAATACCAATTCCCAGCCATCACGTAGACGTATATTGAACATCTAATTCTACAGATGTAACTTCTAGAAAAAAGTAGCATGAAAATTGGCTGATTTGGCTGATTCTGCTGAAATTTATGAAGTTCTGGCTGAAGTGACTGCATTGGCAAATTCTGCTAATTTAAGGAAAAGTTATTTTTAAAATACATTTTATTAATAAAATAAAGAAAAAATTATATGTAAAAATAGCTAAAATGATCATCTACAGTAACTTCAGTCAATACAGTCAGAAAAGTAACTTCAACCTTACTTTTTCTGCTTATTACACAATTCAGCGCGCGAAAGCAAAAAATTACGTGTTTGGTGAAAAAGTTGGCCGATAAGCTTAATAAGCCGAAAAACGGTGTTGCCAAACGGCCTCATAGTATAACAATAGAGACATCCAAAAGAAACAAATGAGAAGCTTACATTGAGACAAAGGAAGTACAGAGTACATCATTATGCATATTGTGTTAAAACATAGTCCCTCCCTAACATTCATATCTTTCCACTTTCCTTTTCTGGACGTAACATTTATATCTTCCCATTTTTAAATTTTCTCATCATACCTTCAATAATTTAAAAAATAATACACTATTACACCTACTTTTTTTGGATTTATCCTTCATTCCATCACATTATTTCATTATCTTCCCATCATACCCTCAATAATTCATACCTCATTTCATTATTCTTAATCTCACCCACTTTGGAAGTGGGAAGGTATATGTGATACGGAGGGAGTAAAATTGAAAGAATTGTGCTAGGTGTACACAAATCTATAGAATTGTCTGCAGACAAACAATTCTGTGTGTGTGACCAAGCATTTTTCAAATTGAAAACAAACAACAAAATCCGGGGCAATTATTCACTGAACTTAAAAAATAAAAACGGTGTAATAATTAGCTTAGCCCGGTAAAAAACTTAGCTCACATTTTTATTGAAAATCTTATGATAACAAACAATAGAACCCTCATCAAATAAAAGCTAATACAGGAGTAATATATACATATTTAACTAATCGATATAAGCTTACTCAAAAATTTAATTGCACTCTGTAATTTAGCCAAACTCTAGAGAGTCTAGATCATTCTAATACGGAGTACTGAAAATAAAATGCTTAATTAAAGCCAAATACGGAGTACAATTAAGAGGATTTGAGTCTAGGAGGCTGACAGCTCATTCATCACTTTAATTACTCCATCTCCACCGCCAAATCCATATCCGTATTTTAATAGGCACAACAAACAAAGAGCTAGCTGGTTTCTTTTACTTATCGTACAAACCAAAAAACCAAAGGATAAGAAGGTTTGCATAGCGACTCTGACAACTTACACTTTACCTGAAGAAAAATGTTAATATCTGCTCAACTCTCAAGCAATTCCCATGTTTGCCGAATCAAATTCCAATCGCTTTTGGCTGACCCGTTTATGACCCATTCCTTACCCGTGTTTTTAGGCGGGAAAAGTGGCCATAATTCCACCTCTTTTTATATAGAGGTAGATTGATTTCACCTTAGGTCAGAAAACAAGAATCGAATACCTATATTAAAATAATAACCTTGCTTTCAAGTATACATAGAGATTGATATCAGAAAAGTAGAAAACCATGACTAAAAAGAACTATGATGAGAAAAGAAAATTTTGTTGTGACGGAGAGAGATGAGTTCTAAAATGTCCCACATTATTATGATTATTGCAAATACTTTGGGCATTCTGTTGAACAATATTTTTTTGGAAAACCATAGAGGAGGAAGAAGAAAAGGTTAAAAACAAGAATGAACATTATATTAGTGAGAATATGAATCAAACTTTAAGTCAGTAATCTCATTTAAAGAATGAATACAATAAGCATGTAGAATGTGTGTACCATATTTCTTACAATATACTCCATATTAAGATGTTTTCCTTTGGACTGAAATTTGCTGGTTAGGTCTGGTCTGATCTGATTTGGTCTGAACTAGTTTGGTCTGGTCTGGTAAATGTCTGGTCTCGGTATATTTTATAACTATGGAAGTCTGGTCTGGGACAGAAAACAGTCCAAAAGAAAACATCATATCCTTGCACATTCAAGACTTTGTCCTAATGGTTCTAGTGTCAGCTCAACAATCATGGAATATCAGGTCGTCTGGAAAGTGAAATAAACATTTTACAAGAACTAGCAGAAAGAATTCAATGTAATAATGTCAAAACCTAGCATTATTTAGAATTTCAATGATTTAATTAAAAAGGCTGTAAACTACTAATCTTTGGTGTTACATACTTGTGCATAGTACACAAAGGACTAGAGAAATCACTTTTTTTTTTAATTCAAAAGAGACATTTCATTGAATAAAGAGTAGTG